AGTCACGTGTCAAGTTCATAGAGAATCAAAATAAATTTGAAGAAGAAAATGATGATGGTTAATTGCTATTCGAATATGGGCTCGACGTGTCTAACACGTTCAATGTAGCCTTACTAATTTTTTGACAAGTATGGGAAAATTATAAACGATATTTATAAAAATGTTATGAATATTAATAGTGGACACTTGGATACCGACTTGGATAAAAAATCCAAATTTCTTACTTGACACATTTCTTGGGAAAATTCACAAAATCGAATGCAATCGTAGGATAAGAAATTACTACTAATACTTGATTAAACATCTTCTAAATTTCAATCGAATTTCATGCACACTTTTTAATCCCAATAAAAGATTCCACGTTGCTTCTTTCGGCGTGTCATATAAGTTTCAACGCTCGAGTATCGCAATTCTTTCGCGATTCTCCAGCCAAACCCATTTTTAATGCCAATTATCCAGCTTAATCTGAGCTATCAGCACGATAGCATGCAGGCCAGGGTCGAAGAAGTTGGGGAATACCGGGTGGTGCACCGGTGCGCTCTCGCAACACCCAACGTCGTTCTCCGTAGATGATACCCAGCAGGACAGTTTTTAATCACCGTAAGTGGATCTACATAGAGCTCGCAATTACCAGGGCACACTCCGGCCATGGGCCCCTTGTGTATCAGCCACCCTCGGCCTACGAGAGAGTCGAGCCAGCTCCAATGTTTTCCCCATTTCATCCCTCGATGCCGTGCCAGCCATCCTCCCTCCTTGCCTTCCCAACCGAGATGCCTTCCTTCCGTTCGAGGTGTTATTCGTCGTCGCGTTTTGATCTTTCCTCCACGACTTCTCGCTCATTTATTATCTATTATTTTTCCTCGCGTCCAATATATCTCCCTCTGCTTCCCTTCTCTTTTCCTCTGTTATTCTCTCTGCTGCCGTATTTTTTAGAATCTAGAGAAAGATGAAATTATAACAATGGAAAGTAATAGTAACGATCTAACGACAAATTGAAGTAACTAGTGAAATTGTAGATTTCAAAAAAGTAAGCTTATATGAAGTATGGAGATGTAAATAGCTCGAGTGAATCTTATTGTCACTTGTAGAAAAGGAGACGGTTATTATTGTTTTGATATTTATTTATTTAGAAGAGAAAGCTGCATGTTTCCAACGAGAATGCCTTTATTTTTCTTTTATATTTTTCAGGTTTTGATGGAACAAGTCTTTGTATTTCTTTTCTATTTTTATTTTTCTTCGACTTTTCCCAAGTATATTTCCCTCGCCGTTTTTTTTTCAATACACTGTCTTTTCTCGCCAACGGAGACCCTTCATCAGAGACCAATCACCCTCTTAGAACCGACCTGCGTCTGCTTCCTGTGACGGTGCTGTGAGTGTGTCCCACAGGGGAAAAAGAAATTCATGTTGATTTTTCTCCCAAAGGCTCTCTGTCTCTAAATTACTCAATTTTTCCTATTCTCTCTCTCTCTCTCTTCTTTTTTTTTATGACTTATGAACAAGAAGACATTTTTCAAAAATGTCTCATTACTGCACAACAAAAACTTTATCAAAGTTAAGATTGATATGTTAATATGGAATAAATTTAATACTTTAACTTTACTGTTGTCTCTGCTTCACTTTTGTTCATTATTTTTTGAACAAAGTAATTATTTCCCAGTATCAACATTTCCCTTGTATTTCCTCTCTCCTTCGCTAATAGCGGCATGCCACCGAACACTACAAGTAATTGGAAATGTATCCACCACCAGAATTAATCGCGGGGGATCGTTCCATTTCTTTCAATTGAATCCAGACCCTTAAGAGCTCGCAGGAGCAATGATTGTTGGTTCAGCAGACCGACACACACAGTTCGTTCACCCGATGCTGCATCCCATTGACGACACCATGGGCAGGGAGGGTGGCAGGGTGTCGCGTGGCGACACGTTTCATAGTTCTGACTCACATGTCATTCCGTATGAATTACAACTCCATTAACGTTCTAGGCAACCTGCGAGCATACATAATGCTACCGAATTGAGCGGATCAACTCCACCGTCCAAGATGTTGATTTATGGGGAATGATGAAGTAGCTTTGTCCTTGGATTGTAAGGGGTGGCTCTGTAAAGTGGACGTGATCCGGCTTTTTAATCGGCAGGCTTCAAAATCAATCTTGTCTTTCCACTTCCTTTCTTCATAAAGCTGACGAATCTTCTTCTCTTTTTTTTTTAATTAATTGCACTTTCTCTCCTTTCTCTCATTCATTTATTGCTTTATTGTTATATAGATTCATTCGTTCAGCATTCCTTTCTCTTTTCCTTTATTGAACGATTTTAACTCGTTTAACACACGTGGCACTAAAAATCGAAAGGGATATTGATTTTTGATTTAGAATTATCATAAGTAAAAAAAAAAAAAAAAAAAAAATAACGTAGAAAATTCTTTCTCACGTTATTTTTTATCACAATTTATGATAAATCGTACATACTCGTTATTTATTAATCAATTAATAAATGCTGGACTAAAATATAGGCATATAATAAAAAGCAAAGAAAAGATTTCAAAGATGATTACAATTGCAATACACAATGTGTACATTGAAAAAAAAGCTCGCTAACATGTTCAACGCGGCACTAAAAATCAAAAAGGATATTGAGTTTTAGAATTATCATGAAGTAAAAAAAAAAAAAAAAAAAAAATAACGTAGAAAATTCTTTTTCACATTTTTTTGTATCAAAGTTTATGATAATACCATATATATCATTCGTTGTTTACTAATTAATTAATTACTGGACTATAATATAGGCATATAATAAAAAGCAAAGAAAAGATTTCAAAGATGATGCGATCACAATTGCAATACACAACGTGTGTATAAAAAAAGATAAGAAGGAAGAGGGAAATGGAACGTAATAAAGGAATAAGTGGAGAAAGTTGGAGGCATCTCAAGGGTACGAGCCTAAGAGTACGAATTAGGGAAGATTCGACCTGACTACCCTCCGTCACGGAGAGCCTCTTTAGAAATGGCGGTCGGCCCGTGACGCCGCAAACTACTAGAAAATTGATAGTAACTTCCTACTTAATTATCGTGTGTGCATAATACATTCACGCTTATGATTTCCTGAACTGAATTAAGCGGAATATTTACTCACGTATTTCTCGCCCGATTCTTTCCACGATCTAGACACTTTTAAATGTTGAAAAGATGATGATTAGACGAAAATTTGTTGAGTGTAAAAAAAAAAAAACATTGTAAAATTTTTATCCATTCCAAAAAATTAAATCAGTTGTATTGCGAATTATAGCATAATTGTTCGTTGCTACGTTGTTATTATACGTTGTGGCGACGAGAATTTTCGCAGCTTGCGGGCATAAACGAGAAAATTGCGTAAATACCAAAAGAAAATTGGACCCGTTCATTCCCGTTTATATTACATTTTCATTATGTTTCACATTTTATGCAATCCATGTGTAATGTGATCTCAAAATGTTACAGGGGCATCAATGATTAGTATTACGTGCAATAAAGTTGCCGGCTAATTGTATTTACCGGTTGGCAATAAGTGTCGAAAGTGAAACGCGACGTTTCGTAATTAGGGAAATTTACGAAATTTTACGATATTAAATTCTTGTATTCGCGCGGGCTGTAATTTTCAAAATATCAAAACACGAGATTTGCTACAAAAAAAAAAAAAAAAAAAGGAAAAATACACGAATGAGATAATAAATCGATCGAATGTTTTAAAACGTGTGCAAAATATTTTACAACGAATTTTTGTCAAAATAAATCCATCCATTGAAAGATATTAAAGAAAGCTCTGTTTTAAAAGAAATAAAAATCATCCCCAACGATTATTCGAAAATTTAATTTATATTAGTTACTTAATAAAGCGTGGCAGAGGGATTCATTCGTTCACATTGCCGGGTCATGATCGTCGCTCGCCGTCACTTAGGCGATGCAATCAACTTAATCCAAGCACGAAAGTTCGGCGCGTATGAAGTGGCGGCGGGTAATTTTTCACTTCAACGTAGTGGTGATTGGCAAGTGTGATTATTATTATATATAGAGAGCAGAAAGGCTTCGTTTCCTTCGTACACACACAGATCTTCCAACTACCGTGTTTATTTTTGGTTCGAAATCAAACCAAGTTTTGGAGCCTAAAATATGCATCGTGATATAAAGCAAAGGATAAGACAGACGAAAGTCAATCACCTTGAATCCATCTATTCAATCATTGGGAGGAGGAAGGAGATTTCTGAGGAAATCTGATTGACAATAGGATAGATTGAATGAATAATGCGAGAAATAGAATTTCTCTAGGAATAGACAGGTAGATGAATCATTTCGGAATTAAATTCGCTTGGAAGGAAATTTTAACGCGGAAAATATTCAAGGTTATTGGTTGAACATTGAAAGACGAGTGAAAAAAAGAAAGAAGAAATCGCGTTGGCGATTGGAAAGAAATTGTTCGAGAATTTTCTCCATAATAATAATAACAGAGAAGAAGTAGACGCGATTATTAAAAGAATGGACGTCATCGAAGAGGGAAAAATAAATGGCGAGAGAAGAATGAGGAATGGACGCGCGACGACGCGTCAGAGGTTGAAAGAGAATTGGTTATCTATAAAAGCTCGTGAGGGTGAGCCGACGAAAATGTAAAACACGTTGATTGGATCATAAATTTTGCGCGTTCGATTTCGCGTCATGGTAAGACAACTCCCCTTTGAATCTCCGACGCGCAAGAAGTTCAAGTTAATCCGTCACGTGCATTAGACGGTATAATCCATCAACTTACACGGTGTCTAACCGTGAAAACGGAATGGGGGGGGGGGGCTTGTAATGCAATTACATGGCACGCTTCGTGTACTTCCGCCATTGTGCATCTTCGTTTCCGGCCCTCCGTTTCGTGGTGACGCCAAAAGGACTATCTCCATTTCTTTTCACTCGAATCTTTGCAATCGTGTGAAATTTATTGATTCTTGGCACGTTTATATTTTTTGTGATAATCGTGCAAAATGCCAATTATGATTAAAAATCACCTACCTGGACTCTAGCTTCCGTTAGATCTATCTTCATAGCGATTTCCTCTCTGGTGTAGATATCTGGATAATGAGTCTCCTGGAAGGCACGCTCCAATTCTTTAAGCTGAGCCGATGTAAAAGTCGTTCGTATCCGACGTTGTTTCCTCTTCTCCGCCAAGCCATCGTGTCCCGAATAGGCCTTATATCCTAATCCACCTGGAAATTATGAAGGGAAGAAGTGAAATTTCAGATATCAAGTAAAAACAATTTGAATTTTAATTGGATTAAAATAACAAATTAAGATTAAATTATATAGGAATAAATCTTATTATTATAATAATAATTGAACGATATGATTCCATCATGTACGGTTAAATCTTTATAGTTAATCAGAAAAAAATTATCAAAATGAATTTATGATATATTATAAAAGTTTTATCTATATATGATTACCTCCTAAATCAATTATTCAAATTTTCTCTTAAAAGGCAAAGAATAAAACTTGAAGAATCAACAAATCACAGTTTCTAAATTACTCCACATGCTGTCAAGATTGATAAAACGTGAGGAAAATCAGTGTGGTCGAATTACTCTAGCTGGAGAATGGAACGTTTCTGAAGGGTTTGGTGCTTGCAAGGAGAGGAAGCAGCTTATAGATTATAGAATATAGGTGAGAATGGCTGCGATAGCGAGCAAGGTAACCATAGCAATGAGTGAGTGAAGGGAGAGGAAGAGGTAGTGAGCTGGGGGTGAAGGAGACGTGGGATGAGACGGAGCGGAGTTAGGTGCAAGAGGAACGAGGCAGTAAATGAGGGAGTGACGAGGAAAGAGTGAGAAAGAGAGGCAAGAATATGAAAAAGGAAGAGAAGGAAAGAGAGTACGAGACACATCCATTGATTTTCAGTGCCATCTTGTCGTCGTTTCCAGAGGAAATATCACGGTGGTAGGTTCGAGCATGGAGACGAACCATCGCATGGCAACTATCCCCTGAGAAAAGAAGGACCACCCTCTTTTTTTCTGCGGAATAAGCTTCCCTTCTTCGCTCCGCCCGCGCATGCTGCCTTCCTCTGCCTCTAATTGATTGTCCTTTCGTAAATTCTATCGTTTTAACGATGTACAGTGTTTGATTTTTGTTCGTTCGTTTGTTCTCGAGGAAGTGGTAGTTCGAGCAACGAGGAGATTCGATTAGATTGATTGTACGAAATTCTCGTTTGGAATTATTCTCGTTTCTTGATGATTTTCCTTTTTTTTTTTTTTTTCCTTTTCAGAATTTGTGAATGCTGATTAGATGTGATTTCCGTACTAAGTCTTAATTAATATTTGATATCTAGTTTTAATAAAAGAGAAAATCAGATTGTGATAACGTTGAATAGTTATGCATAAAGAAAGTGATGAAAGTTTTAAATGTTTGAATAAGACGTTGCGTTAATTTTTTATCCTTTTAATAAGGAGCTCGTATAATGATTTATGAAGGATAATAAAATCCAAATTGATATTTATCGTTGTAACAAATTGTGTTCACACTTCTCGTTTCTTTTATAGGCAATAAAATAAAAATTATACGATCCATGAAGCTAAATATGTGTATATCATTTATAAGACACGATAATTTTCTTGCTTTCGAACAACGAACGATAAATATGTAATTTAATTTCCTAATGAATATTACAAATAGACAAATAATATAAAAGCATCATAAATAACATTTACTACATTATGGTAAACAAAGAATTGTTGCAGATTGATATGAAAGAAAGAAATCAATGACTAAAGGTGATAATAATTTTTCTTCTAACGATTGATTCAAAAATAAATATCTGCACTTAATTTTTCGTTTAAAGAATGATAAAAAAGTATGCAAATGATCGTCTCTGAATTCCATCGCTAGGCACAAAAGCCTAAACAAAAAATTACAAAAATCTGGAACAATAGGCAATAATATGTAAAACAGAATTCTGGAATAAAAACAAAAATGAAAAATTAAGTTTCCATTAAGTCGTATAGTGTTCCATCGTCATCCATCCACCATCATCTCGTCCGAAGAGAACAACCGAATTAAGTGCACTCACTCTGCAAATTAATGGCCGAGGGAAAGATGGAAGCGGCGTGCCGGTGAACCTCTTGAGATCTGGCGGCCATTACCGAGCAGGGGGTTGTATGGGCCCCGTGGTGCGCGTGGGCATGAGAGTGGGTGGTGTGATGGGCCCCCAGCGGCGTGGTGCTTCCTGTACCCGTAGTTCCCGCGTTGCCCGGATAACCAGCAGCTCTCGCAGCCGTGTACCGATAGGCGGCCTGGCTCATTTGCGAGCACGAACTCAAGTCCCCGTATCCACATTGCATCTCACTGGCGGCTAGAGCACAGCTAGAAGCCTCGAAACCGGCGGCCGCAGCGGCAGCCGCCTGATTCAAGTACGAATAATCCATGATTCACTCGAAGATCACCGCGAGTATGGATGAACGGAAACAGAGTTTCTCTCGTGGTCACAGGCGAAGATAGAGATTTGCGTGGATGAAAAAGGACACTTTCGAACGAAGGGCACAAAATGATTCACCTGGACAGTTCATCGAAACTTCTTCTTATTTCTTTTCCTTCATTCTTGATCCTTCACTCGAGCGGATAAACTGAATCTTTCCGGCTGATATAATGGATGGATAGTCCCGTCGAGCTCGTGGAAAAAACGGAACTATAACTAGACTCTTCGTTCACTGGAACATGTTGATTCGAAGGATCTGAATAGAAATTCGAACGGGGTTATAATAATCACGAGGAAGAGAAGCTAAGGGCCCCGGCCGGGCCTTAGCCGCGGCTTTCCTTCCGGCCCCAGCAACGACGCGTTTCTTCCCACGAAATCTCGGATAATCGTAGGGCAGGGTGTGTAAGCAGCAGTGGCAGCGTCACGTAATTCTCCTCCGGTCGTAGATAAGAGCTAAGGGACGCGGGCGGTAGCTGGTTGCTCGATAGCGGCTTATGACGCGTAATCGGATCAGCGATATCAAATTATTGCGATTATAGCCGCGGATAGAAAGAAGTTTTTCGGCCCGCTTAAGAGAGCCCGAGACGACCGACTGGTGGGTCTCCTCAAAATCAAATGATAAGCTTAATTCAATAACCGGCGGAGAGGGTGCATGCCGGAGGTGTGGTCCACAGTTGGTTACGGTGAAACGGGTTTGGTCACTGTCTTCCGTTCTCTAAGCGCTGATTCGTCGATCCCTGGTGCCACCCCCGGACTGGATGAGAGAACAGTCACCGCCCCTCGAAGCTTCTGTGTTCATCCCCGTCCGTGTGCCACCCCCATTTCGTCGGGCGACCTCTCCCTAACAGCCATCAGCTCGAATGAACGCTATCATTCGATGATGCCGACCCTCTCCCCTGGTCTCGATTTTACGATCGATTCCGGAGCAGGCCGTTTCCGCTGGACACAGGAGCAACGCTTCTCCAACCATCTTCCGTATGTTTACGCCTAACAACTCCTTTTGCGGCTCTCTTCTCGGTACAATGAGTGCTCAGCCTTTTGGATGATATCGCTAATGCTGGCCGCCCTTAGTCTTTGGATGAGACGAGGATGATGGAGTGCTTCACGCGAAAATGAGATAAACTTGAGATACTATGACGGTCTTTTTTGATTCAAACTGTAGATTGTTGCGATGAAGAATGAAGATTGTTGCAAAGCAAATTTCTTATTTTCTTGTGGGCTAATGAAATATAGAATTGGAATGAAAAATTAGATTAATTTACTTAAAAATTACATAAAGATCATTCGGACAAATTTATCAATTTATTAATATGAAATATAAACAATAAAATTGAAATAAAATAATTTTCGTTTTCGTTTTAAAGATATATAGATATTGTAAAATATATTTGCTGCAGAAAAATAATATTTTTTTTTAACAAGATTTTTTAACAAGATCATTTTGAAATAAGTACTATCTCATTTATGTACTTTATATATTACATTATATAAGATCTCATCAACTTTTAAATATTCATAACAATTTTCCTATGGAATTAATATATTCTTTTTCTACATTTTTTATCTATTGCACAAATATCAAATGGATACAGGATACATAAATAAAGGGACTGGAAAGCATGAAATATGATTTATCTGCAGATACAGAAATTACATGACTAAACATGACACGAGACCGACCTTAGATAGGTGCTAGGAACCTGTGCGACACTTGTTTCGCACTTGTTCTCACGAAAGGGCCACGATGAGCAGTCCTGGTACTCGACCCTCTTCCCCGAGTCTCATCCCGGGGGAATTCTCTTCCAGGGTACATACATGAACGTAGTATGCCGCGCAACACCAAATCGCCCATAGTATGTATACTAAGAATACATAGGAACGAATTCATCCATTGGCGTAGAGTTCTCTGTCAACTTTATCATGTCGCAGTAGTAGAAATAGAAACTGGAACATATGTAATATCATGATTAAAATTATGAAAATTTTGCAAAAAATTGGTATAAAAATATTTAAAAGCTTACGAAATATATAGTATTAATATAAAATTGTTATTGTTGAAATATAAAAATGTAATTTCATTTCACCATTAATATTATTAAAATTTATATTTTCAATTTATTAAATTATAATAATTATATTCTTAAAATTAAAGACAACCAAAAAAACAAATATAGATAATATTTAAATATTTATATTATTGTTACATATGTCTATATTCATTTATAAGTAATATTTAATTATTAAGATATAATTATTTAAAAATTATGCAAATAAATAGAAAGTAATAAGTAATTGATTGACTTATTGGAAAAAACATTTGTGATGAAAAAATTATCATTGACAATAAGAATTTAATATCTACGTCAATGGGAATACAGTAAACATGAATGCGCGTGTAAACACTCGCACACTCGTATAAACGGCGTTTCGTCTTTTATATCAATAGAGAGAGAGAACGTCAACCCCCCTTAGCGGTCTGATACATATGTCCTTGATTTGTCGGGAGAATAATATTCTCCTGGAAAGTTGATTAAATATTGATTAGTGATCTCAGATACTCTTCACCCCCGCTGCGCTTGCATCCCATAGAATCGAAAACCCATAGGAATATAATTTAATATTTCCACGTCCCAAAGAAAGTTTTTTTGTGATTTACATCAACTTTATCATTTTCACGAAAGAAATCATTTCATATTTGTCATAGTCTTGGAAAAACGTTTTTCAAAAAACAATATACCTTCATATTCATTCAATTCGTACTGAAACATAAATGTTACGAAGCGAACATTGTATCTTCGGTATAATGAAGCATAAAATGTATTAATATGATAATTTATGTTAGCTTATTGTAAAATGTTACTGCGACCTGATTAAAATGGCTTGCAATTATTCCTTTGCCACTTTTATACGACGTCATTACGAGCTAATTCTGTTTATCGCGTATATTACATATCCAGTTATTTTCTCTATTGTGATGTGTTCATTTTGTCTTTTAAATAGATTGGTTATGTTATGATATTTACAGTCGCATACGAATATGTATTAAATAGAACATTTAATGGAACTTATCAAGTATTTATTCAATGGAACAACAACACCTGTCAATTTTTTATTTTAATAATCACAATAATAACGATGTTGCACTAAACATTTTTATAATTCATATGGTAAATGTACAACTGTCACTAATGCACTTTTTCAATAAATTGCCAACAGGTGGCATATCGAATTATAAAACTAGATATTACGTTAAAATAATTATATTTTCTATTTTTATATTATTATTAATTAATAATATTATTATTATTAGCAATTTATAAATTCTTAATTTAATTTATTAATATATTATGAATAATTTAACTTCAATTTTTAATTAATTTTTTGTATGAATTATAAATTTTAAATGTAGATAGTAGCTCCATCATTTTCGTTGAAACTTTTTAATTGGCGGGAACACACATATGAAAAACTGTGAAAAGAAGGAACGAACAAGGATTAAAAAAATAGTGAAAAATAGTTTTTTGTGATTTATTTGTATTAATTTATTGTGAAAATTAATTTGTTGTGATGGTGATTACTTTTAGAATATTGGGCTGATAAGATAATTAAATATATTTGGTAAGTTTTAACATTTTTTGTACCAAATAATATTCCAATATTATAGAAATATCAAATAATATAAATTAATAGTATGTTTCTTATAAACCTAATTTTAGAAAAATGAATATTTAACGTAGAATATTAATTTTTAGAAGAATTAAACATAGAGAGATAATTCAACATTCAATTTTAATATTAAAAATTATACAAGGCAAACGTATCGTATCAAATACTTAAGTAATTTGTAATCATAATGGAAAATTGACATTAAATTCAATTTATACGTAACATATGAAAATTACAAAATTTTCTTTTTTATATTTTAGAATAATTACAATTCTATCAAAACAAAATATGTTTTAAATAAATTTCCAAAGATAATTATTGCTTATTTATATAAATTGCGTTCTTATAAATATACAAACCTAAAAAAGCGCATTTAATTACTTACAATAATTATTTGAAAATATATTAATTATTAATAACATTTCTTTTATTATTATCTCGCATACAAAATTCATAAATGTTAGCAAACATTAAAGTGAAACGTAATAAATAATAATTTTACGTATCTCACTGTAATGATATGTGTAATAATCAAAAAATATCTGACATATATTTAGATGAATTAGTAGTAAAATTAAATTAAATTTTACTTTTGATAGAATACTGCTTGATTCTTTACACAAGCATTGTGTTCTGAAATAAAAAGTGGACATGATTTGTAATTATAATTAATTATTAAAAACTAAAAATCTTTTGTTATAAAAAAATTGAAATTTTTTGTTATTACCATAGTTTGGTCGATAATGAAGTTCTTCCCAATTTACTATATTTCGTCTTGATTTTATAGCATTGTCGGTATGATGTAAAGTAGTTACGATTGGCTCACAATCAGTTTTTCTTATTTCTACCACATTTTGTTTTGGAACATGAATTTCACATACATTTGAAGAATCGTTGATAGGTTGCATTTCCGGTCGATACAGGATTATCTTTTTAGGATGCGAACAATGTTCTTCAAAAGCAACATTTGAATGACCCAAATTTTGTTGTTCAACATATACAACTTTATTTTGTTCGCAAGTTGGCACGAAAATAATTTTTTGAGTTGGTTCTTGAAGACACGATATCACGCGATAGTTATTTGAATTAGTCACTTCTACATTATCGACAGAAGTAACATGTTTATAGATAGGAACTTTTTGAGTTTTTGAATCATTTTCAAATGCCAAATACTTAATTGGTTGTTGTTCCAATTCTATTGTATTTTGTATATATTGATTATCAATAAATTTTATTTGTGATTCTTGTTCTTCCACAGGTAATATTTTTAAATTATGCACACCTTTTAGAATACTAACATCAGTTATATCTTCCTGACATAA